AGGTTGCCCAAAGCCCCGTCCAACCTGGCCTTGAACCCTTCCAGGGAGGGGGCAGCCACAGCTTCTCTGGGCAGCCTGTGCCAGGGCCTCACCCCCCTCACAGGGAAGAATTTCTGCCTTAGATCTAATCTAAATCTCCCCTTTTTCAGTTTAAAACTGCTCCCCCTCATCCTATCCCTACACCCCCTGATGAGTCCCTCCCCCCGTTCCCTCAGCCCCTTTCAGCCCTGGGGGGCCGCTCTAAGGTCTCCCCGGAGCCTTCTCTTCTCCAGCTGAACCCCCCAACTCTCCCAGCCTGTCCTCACAGGGGGGCTCCAGCCCCCCCAGCATCTCTGTGGCCTCCTCTGACCTCGCTCGAGCAGGTCCGTGTCCTTCTGCTGTTGGGGGATAGCTGGGAGCATCCCTCTGCCCCATGCAAAGAGGTCTCTGAGCTGTGCAAGGGATGATAGTGAAGTCCTGTGGGATGGGGCCAGGAGCTGACAGACTTTCTGGTTTGAATGCACCAGCCTGCACTTATCAATGTGGAAAGTGGGAGAAATAAACACTTGAGGACCAGGAAACTCAGAGCTGAGGTTTTGCCTAGGAGCTTAACTCTGACCTGGTGACTCCCTGCCCAAATCTGGGCTTGTGTCTTCTCTCCTTCCTGCTGAGAAAGGTGGGGTTGGCTTTTAATTGTGCTGTGAAACATCACTGAGGTTTCTTACTTAGGTATGACGCATGGCATTTTAGCTAGTGAATGGTGCAAAACATGCCTTTTTATTTGCAGTTTTATCACACAAGGTGTTTCTAAGCTCTGCTTTGGATGAGGGGGCCTGAACCCCTCCTGGGGACCAGGACGACTTAGTTTGTTTTTTTTTGGTACTGCAGAGGGAGCCTTCTTCCTCCAAAGCTGCACCAGGAACTCTGCTCAAATATGGGACAAGTCACGTCATGGCCACCCTGTGCCTTCCTCAGCCCTTCGAAACTCCCCACGGCTGCCCAGCCCTCTCGTGAGAACCAGCTGTGAAAAGACTCCGTTGACTTTAAGCTCAAGAGAGATGTTTTATGACCACCTGGGGCCATGCCAGGTTTCGCTGAAGCCCTACTCACTGTGCCAATGTGGTTTGTGTGGATGTGAGGGCAGATACTGGCTGTGCCCGGGAATTGCTTTGCTCTGGACCACATCCGATGTGCCTGGAAAGGCTCCAGCCTCCGACAGCCCTTTCTTGTGCCCAGTGTGTCCCATGGGTGTGTGGGAAGGCAGCGAGGGAGGCTCTGCCAGAGTCATGAGGCTGGACATGCTCCTCTGCCTGCATCACTGGCTTTGGAAGTGGGATTTAAAGAGCTCAAGGAGCCTTTGGATGCCTCCTGCTCAGCAGACCATCATGGCTGTGGGTCACAGGCTAATCCCTTGGTATTTAATGCCTGGGACATTGGCCACAGCTGTGGTATCACCTGAGCAGCTCTGAGACAATGAACCCATCCCCTTGCTGAAAGCCCTGCTACCTCTGTAGCTCTTCTTGCTAGAAATCCCTCATCCTTTTGAGCAGCAGGAAGCTCATATCCATATGGGGGGGATGTATGCAGGTGTTAGGGTGGGACGCTGCAGCCTGTAGGGCACCCAACACCAAGGAGAAATATTCTAGCCTCACCTTGTAACCATGGTAGGATGTCTGTTCCTCCATGAAGATGCTCTTGCAGGTCAAATGGAGACTCTGAAGTGTTGGTTTAGTCAGTTTGTTAGTGAGCAGAAATCCCTGACAGACGGCAGCACTGGAGGGATGAGGAGATGCTGCAGAACCCTTGGGGAGCCTGGGCTGGATCCTGCCCGGAGCTGTGCACCGTTCTGCTACCTGCTGCTGGTCTCGGAATGTGCACCGAGCTCCTCACATCGCCACACTGATGTGCTGGAGTCCCACACCAATTCCAGCATCCCTGCCCCGGCTGCCAGCCCACACGTCAGCGTGCACCACCAGCACAGGGACAGGCAAAGCAGCCTCCACTTTCCAGCCCACTGCCCTGCTACCAGCAAAACTGAGATGTGGGTGCTGGTGGGGAAGCAGGACCTCCATGCCTACAGGATGATTTGTGGCTTGTCCAGGCTTGCATAGACCCTTTTTCTGAATGTGAACAAAGCAGGACTTGGCAAAGCCACCTGGTCTACACCAGAGCTCTTGTGTTATATCCAGCAACAAGTACCACAGCCCCATCGGTGCTCAGCCATGTCTGCTGCTCAGAACATCCTTCAGGATCGTATTAGGATGTTTATGAGGTTGAGATGTTTGTGAGGCTCCCCCCCCCCCCCCCCCC